TGTGTGGACTTCTTTATACATCTTAGAAACTACCTTGTGTAATTATAAGAGTTGATTGAATAATGAGCATTGATTGTCAATGTCTAAGTTTGGGATACCACCTCGGATAAGAGCATCTTTTAGGGTTACGGGTGAGCCAGATGTGCACAAAGAGACTGATGAGCAATTATGGGTTTTTGTCTCCTGAGGTCGAGGTCGTCCTAGAATAAGGGGAAGGAGGAGTTCCCGACATTCGAGTGAGGGTAGTTCAAGTGATCGAAGGAGTGCTAGTACGAATAGCATTGGGGCTAGTGGACCTACTTTAAAGAGTGCTACTTTGGATGAATTAGAAGCTGGATTGTGAAATTTGACCTAACAGTTTACAAAATTTACTAGGCAATGTGCTGGTGTGGCTAAAGAATATATGGATTCAAGTTCACAAGATCCAGATTACGACCCAAATATGAACATGATAGAAGAAGAAGAACCAGATGAAGAGGATGAGAATGATTCGAATGATGACGAAGGAGACGATTTAGTTTCATTATCCGCATTTATGAAGTTAAAACCTCCATCATTTACTACTTCCACTGTGGAAGAGGACCTTTGTAAATTTTTGGATACTATGAAAAGTATTTGTCGTGCTTTAGGAGCTTCGAGTATAAGGTCAGTAGCATTGGCTAGTTTCCATCTTGAGAATGTAGCCTAGTGATAGTGGATTATGTCCTACATGTGGGGTAGGCCTAGTGATGTCGGCCCGCTTGGTTGGAAGGAATTTGATAAAGCCTTTATGGACAAGTTTATGCCTCGTAGTGTGCGAAAAACTAAGGCTAAGGAGTTTAAGGCTTTGAAACAAACACTTGGGATGACGATGTCTGAATATGATGTGTAATTTACTCAATTGCCTAGATACGCCCCATACCTTGTACCTACTGAAGAAATGAGAGTGAATCGATTTGTGGCTGGACTATTTGAGTATCTATTTAGAGCTATTGCTCGACAGAGATTTGATTCCTACTCTGATGAAGTGGATTGTGCTCGATTGATAGAGGGTCGTAGTATGGAATCTAGAGCACCTTGTGAAAGTACAAGAAAGACTAAGATTGAAGGGCAGACTAGTCAAAGGAACACTTATCGAGAAATGACTTTTGGAAGGTCAAGTCAAAAAGTGTCAACTGGCTTTCAAGGGTTGAGGAGAGACCCCTAATTTAGTAGTCCACCTAGTCATGGAAATTCTTCTAGAGTAAGTAATCATCAAGGATTTAGCAATGAAATGACTAGCCCTAACAGTTGCTAGATGGGCCAGAGGAGTCCTTATTGAGCATGTTATGGTACTATGCATGTGGAGCCATGTGCTCAATCGTATGATGTATGTTTTAATTGTGGTCAAATGGGACATATGCGAAGAGACTACCCCTATGGTGCGAGATTGCAAGAAACTAGTCGTGGGTATGTACAACTAGCATTAATGATAGCATCTACAATTTCACCTCCAGCTAGGCGAGGTTGACCCGATAAAGGCAAAGGAATAGCTTATACCTCCCGAACTCAACCTACTGAGTCAACACTGCAAGGTATTTCTAGAAAAACACAAGCAAGAGTATTTGCCATGGATCCGCAAGATGTACCTGCTTCTAATGATGTGGTGACAAGTACTCTTTTAATTTATGGTTCTGAAGCATTGGTATTATTTGATTCTAGAGCTACCCATTTTTTTGTTTCCTCGAATTTTGTGTCAAAATTGAATAGACCTTGTGAAATAATAGTAAACCCATTGGTAGTGACCACTCCCTTTGAAGAGATTTATATAACAAAAGTTGTTTATAAGTTATGTGTAGTTCAAATTAATCACCAGAAGGCATTAGTGGATTTGGTATTATTAATGACATTAGGATTTGATGCTATATTAGGAATGGATTGGTTGTACAATTATTATGGCAATGTCGATTGCCACTACAAATATGTAGAATTTATGTTTTCCGGAGAAGTTCCATTTATCATCTATGGACATCGAAGCCCGTGTAATAAGGGAATATTAGTAAGAGTCACAAGAGTGGAAACAAAATAGAATCATTTGGCGTGTGTAATAGCCGAGGAGGATGTGTTAATGGAGGAAGAGGTTCCAGATATTAAAAAGGTGCCAATAGTTAATGAATTTGAAGATGTGTTCCCAGAAGAATTGCCAAGGTTGCCCTAGAAAGAGAAGTTAAGTTTTGCATTAATTTGATTCCTAGCATGGAACCAATATCTGAAGTTCCTTACCGGATGGCACCCATAGAGATACACGTGCTGTGAGAACAATTGCAAAAGTTAAGGGAAAAGGGGTTTATTCGTCTAAGCACTTCGCCTTGTGGATCTCTAGTACTATTTGTAAAGAAAAAAGATGGATTGTTGAAAGTTGAATAGTGTAACTATTAAGAATAAATACCCACTTCCCAGGATAGATGATTTATTCGATCAATTGCAAGGAGCACGATGTTTTTCGAAAATTGATTTATGCTCCGGGTATCATCAATTAAAAATTCGAGAAGAGGATATACCAAAGATCGCATTCCGTATAAGGTATAGGTATTTTGAGTTTTTGCTAATGTCCTTTGGTCTAACTAATGCTCCCATTGCTTTTATGGATCTAATGAATAGAGTGTTCTGGGCTTATTTAGATAAATTTGTGGTGGTGTTTATCGATGATATCTTAGTGTATTCTCAGAGTCCCGAAGAACATACACAACATTTACGGAAGGTGTTGCAAACCCTTCGAGAACATGGACTATATTCAAAGTTCTCTAGGTGCGCTTTTTGGTTAGAGAGTGTTAGTTTTCTTGGACGTGTGATATTGAAGGAAGGGATTAGTGTGGATCGGCAAAAGGTTACGTCAATCCAAACTTAGCTGAGGCCGAGTGAGGTTATCGAGGTTTGAAGTTTTCTGAACTTAGCTGGGTATTATCATTGATTTGTGCAAGATTTCTCAAAAATCGCAATGCCATTGACAAAGTTGACACGAAAGGGAGCTAAGTTTGAATGGACTGATGAATGTGAAAATAGTTTCTTAAGACTAAAGGAGTGTTTGATTTCGGCACCAGTCTTAAGTTTACTAAGTGGTCCAGGAGAATATGTTGTGTATTGTGATGCATCAAGAGTTGGATTAGGATGTGTGTTGATGCAAAATGATAGGGCTATCGCGTACACCTCAAGGCAGTTTAAAAGGCATGAGCAAAACTATCCTACCCATGACTTGGAAATGGCAGTGATATTAATTGCATTAAAAATTTGGCGTCATTACCTATATGGTGAAAGCTTTGAAATATATACGAATCATGCAAATTTAAAGTATATATTTCAACAACAAGATCTTAATTTAATGCAATGCCGATGGATGGAACTAGTTAAAGACTATGATTATGCCATCCAATATCACCCTGGTAAGAAGAATGTGGTAACAGATGCCTTGAGTCAGAAGTCTATAGAAAGTTTGGCACATTTGACAGGCGAAAGATGAAACATAGTGCATGGATGGCTAAGCCTAGGCAGTATGGGGGTCAAGATTGTTATTTGTGGACCTAGTGCTCTTATTGCTCATTTCCAAGTATGACCAATGATCTTGGACCGAATTCACGGTGCTCAGGATCAAGATGAATTTGTAATGAAAATCTTGGGATTTGGAGAGCAAGATCAAAATTTTGTATATGGAGATGATGAATTGTTGAAGTATGAATCTCGGACATATGTGCTAGATCGAGATGACTTGAGAGAAGAAATTTTATAGGAAGCTCACATTACCGCCTACAAGATGACTTGGGAGAAGAAATTTTAGAGGAAGCTAAGATTACTACCTACACGGCACATCCAGGAGCCACCAAGATGTATCACAATTTGAAAATGGTTTATTGGTGGCCAAGTAGGAAGAAAGATGTAGCCGAGTATGTAGCCAAGTGCTTAACTTGTCAACAAGTTAAGGTTGAACATGGGAAACCCCCAGGTTTGCTACAACCTTTGTCAATTCCTGAATGGAAATGGGAACATGTAGCTATGGATTTCGCGACTAGATTGCCTCGTTTTAGAGGGGGGTATGATTCGATTTGGGTAATAGTAGATCAGTTGACTAAATCTACTGACTTCATTCCAATAAAGACTAGTTATGGGTCAACTAAATATGCCAAGGTTTACATTGATTGTATTGTAAGGTTGCATGGAGTTCCCGTGAATATAGTGTCTGATCGAGGGCCACAGTTTACTAATAAGTTTTGGAGAAGTTTACATGAAGCTTTAGGCACTCGTTCGGACTTTAGTACTGCATTTCATCCTCAAACAGATGGTTAGTCCGAGCAGGTGACACAAACGCTTGAGGACATGTTAAAGTCAATAGTATTTGATTTGTGGACCACATGGAATCAACAGTTATCTTTGGCGAAATTCGCATATAACAATAGCTATCAAGCTAGTATTGGAATGGCTTCTTTTGAAGCATTATATGGATGGAAGTGCAGATCGCTTATTGGGTGGTTTGAAGTGGGAGAAAGGAAATTGTTAGGTCCCGATTTGATGCAACAAGCAACTGATGTGGTGAGTTTGGTAAAGGAACATCTAAGAGCAACGCAAAGTAGACAAAAGTCTTATGCAAATAATAGGCGTCATCTTTTGGAGTTTCAGGTGAAAGATTTTGTGTTCCTTAAGGTATCCCCATTAAAACGAAGTAAAAGATTAGGAAAGAAAAGGAAGTTGAGCCCAAGATATATTGGACCTTTCAAAATCTTGGAACGAATTGGGCTAACAGCATACGGATTATTTTTACTAATGGAACTGGTTCATGTGAATCCCACTTTTCATGTGTCTATGCTAAGGAAGTATGTTAAGGATTTGACACATGTCAAACATTATGATTTGGTTCTGTTGGATGAAGGATTGAATTTTGAAGAGTAACTAGTAACAATACTAGATCGACAAGTGAAACAATTATGTTCTAAAGAAGTTGCCTCAGTAAAAGTCTTATGGCAAAACCGGTTAGTGGAAGAGGCAACCTGGGAACTCGAAGGGGAAATGAGAAAGGAATATCCACATCTTGTTCAAGATTAAGGTACATTCTATCAATCCACTCTATGTAAATGTGAGGACGAATTTGTTTTAAATGAGGGAGATTGTAACACCTCGTATTCTCGAATAGGAGTCAATAAGACCCAATAGATAAGAAAAAGGGTCAATTGACGAAAATCTAAAAGCCAAAGAGCAGTAATGTGTAAAAGGAATTTTTGGAATAAAATATTTCATACGTGATAAAATAATAATTAAATAATAATATTATTATCAAGGATGAATTAGGTAGTTAAAAGGTGATTTGGAAGTGAATCGGGGAAAGTGAGACACTTTGGGACCCGAGGAAACAAGTGGAGAATTTTGAAATAAAATAATATTAAAATATTGATATTTTAATTATTATTGAGATTAGTCATGGAGGAGGATTATATGACTAATCTAAGTGGGGGAGACGAAGTAAGAAAGAATTTTAAAGAAAAACGACATTAGTGGAGCCATCATGCCTTTATTAAATAGAGTACGAAGGGGTAAGTATATATTTAAATATTATGGTGACACCTTGATGGGGTGTAAACCTTATATTATATTTGTACATATGTAAAGGAAGGAAACTAGAAGGAAATTAAAATTTAAGAAGTGTTGGAAGGACCAAATTATAAAGCATGAAAGTTTGGAGGGTCACCCAGTAAATAAAGAAAAGTTTGAAGACTTATGTGTAATTTTTTACATTTGAAGTTAAATGGGAATGCATTCATGATTGAGACACATATCCACTATGCTAAATAAAAAAAAGTTTGAGGACTTATGTGCATCGCTCAGCACATCGAGACTAGCTGCAACATAGGTAATGGCATCTATTAGACTTCCACTCCGTGTCACTCCGCTGCCTAGAGATCGTGTTGTGTCAAGTAGTCAAACTTATAATGATAAATAGTTTGTGGAAATGTATTTGCTAAAACTTGAGGTTGTGTAATGATTATCACTTATTATGTTGAATATATTGTAGAGTTATTAAACCTGGTTATTGGTATCTAGATGATACGTTTTGAATATTGTGATCATTTGGTTTAAGTGACCTATAGTATTATAATTGCAAGTTGAGTTTAAATTGCTTGAAAGCTTAACTAAGGCTTGTTCAGAATTTGACGGGTTCACTTGCAAGTCTCGGACGCCGTTAACAATTGAGGGAAGAGGTCGTTACATTGGGTTTGTTGAATCAAATGAGACTGAGCTTTTAACTATTAAGAAAGTTTTCTTGATTTTTACTGTATCCAAATGGGTTTTTGTTTATAGATTATTGATAGAAAGTGACTCCATTGATGCAGTGGAATGGGTTAAAAGTCCAAGTTCTACTCCATGAAGATTATGTTCCCATTATCCCATATGAGGTTCATTGAATAAGGATGTAAGGTATGCATCCATGGAGCTTAAGTGTATGTTTGGTGAAGGTATACTACATTCTATTTAATGAAACATTCCAATTTCAATAAATAAAAATGGACATTTACTAATATTCATCTTGTTTGGTTTTGCTAAAACTTTTATACAATTATTGTCAACAGAATTTAATATCTTAAATGCAAAATCATTACTGTCATGATAATTAAATATACAAAAGAATCAATCAAAATCGAAAAAAAAAATTACAAGTCAATTTTTTCACAAGTTTAGAATCTCGGCCTTTTCAAGTCTGTTATTACATGTCCAGGCAACTTCCACTGGAAATTAATGCATTTGATGTCCGTTTGCGTAACTTACAAGTGTCATATCATGCATCCATCTCTCAAATCCAGCTAAAACACTTCTGGCGGATTAGTTCTATTTTTTACACTGAAAAAAAGAAAATAGACATGTCTAATCATGACCACCCTTCCTTGATTATCCATGTTTACAGATAATAACATAATTCTAGAAAATCTCAACCTAATCTTAAACAACGATGCCTTTTGTATATATATTCATTTGATAAAGTTGAAAAGATTTTTTAAAAAAAAATTCAATATTTTCTATTTTAAAAGAAAAATATTTAAATAAAAAATATTTTACCAATCAATAAGTCAAAGTAAAATGTCTTATATGTCTAAAACATTTTAAATATATATAATAAATTATTATCTTATATATTGTTGGACGAAATTTTATGGTTTCGTCAATAAATGGACAGAATTTACATTGTTGATTCAGTAATTATATTAGCTTAATGATATATTTATTTGTAATCCAGTAATGTATGTCAGTTATCTGAACTTGTTCTCCAGGTTTGCAAAGGATCAGTTTCCTTATTTAAATATCGCTACCGTCTCTCGAGATACCAATTTGGGCAAAAATTGCTCGAGGATAAGAGTTTATCATACACAAGCAATCTATTAAGGAGTACGGAGCAACCTGAATAAGCCAATAACAAGGAAAATAGCCAACGCAATCATCAAAAGCATGCTTCAGCCGATGCTCATAGCAATATGCTACAGCCGCCTAGATTGAGTAGTATCACTTAACAACCTGAGGTCCCAAAATCCCAGTTGGGAGAAAAACTGAAATATACGAAAAGGAAAGGGGAAATTCAAAGACTTGAACCGAACCCATTATGGACAAACAATTCGTTTTTCATCGAGGGCCATAAGAATCTTTGGACCACACCAGAGGTACAGAATTTGTTAAAACTTACACCCCAAAGAACTGTTTACATTTGTTTTATATTTCACTTTCCATTTCTTTAAACTGAAGAGTGGAGAAGGGCAAACGAAGTGACTCCGAATTCTTGAAAGGAAAAGAATAAGAAATTGGCAAACAACAAAAAAAAAAAATAGAAAAAGCTTTAGGTTGGGCCCATCAACTTATTAATTGTCAGAAATCATGGTCCAAACTTTTGAGCAACCCCACGAGCTGTGCCAAGCATCTCAAAATCAAACCCACATGAAAGATACCAACAAAAGGGTCGCCAGCTAGAAACAACTAAGCTTAAATTACGCTCTTCCTTTTCCCATATATAGCCAAAGCTGCCATTTCCTTTCCCTGCGTCGATCTCAATTTAGAGAGACCATGGCAATATTGCAACATACTTTGTTTATATGTCTCTCGGTGTTTTGTATGACAAGTGTGGCTTCTTCACACAGCAGGCACTACACCACTCCCAGCGTTCCACGTTTAACAGACTTGCTTAGCCATGTCTCAGTTGATACGGGTTTTTCTAAATTTTTTGGTGGACCAAATATAAAGTTGATCAACAATGGGTCCATGGCCACTCTTGCTCTCGACAAAACCTCAGGTGAAAATCAAGTCCCTATTGACTTAACTTTCTTAGAATCCGAGTTGGCCTCTGGGTTTATTCTCCAGTCTTTCAATGATGTTTTACAGGGTCAGGATTGGTTTCCAGGAACAAATATTACTATGGATTTTTCAGTGCAACAATAAAGTTGCCTGCAGGTCTCACATCTGGAGTCGTGGTAGCCTTCTATGTAAGACATTTAACTTGTATGAATCGACCTGTGATTAGTCATGTGCATTGACAGACTCTGACCGTAAGTTGAATGTATGCAGTTGTCTAATGCAGACATGTATCCTCACAGCCATGATGAGATTGATATTGAACTGCTTGGGCATGATAAGAGAATTGACTGGGTACTCCAAACAAATGTCTATGCAAATGGTGTCAGTACCGGAAGGGAAGAGAAATTTTATTTCTGGTTTGATCCAACACAGCAGCACCATTACTACAGCATTCTCTGGAACAGCCACCATATAGTGTAAGATTATTGAAACCCATTGATAAAAAACCAAAGAACCTGACATGTTTGATTAACTTATTGGGATAATGAACAACTAGCCTTGAACAAATAATTATATATATATATGTATATATATGCAGGTTCCTTGTGGATAATATACCAGTGAGAGAGTTCCCAAACAACGGCAAATTCTCTACCGCATATCCATCAAAGCCAATGTCGCTTTATGTAACCATATGGGATGGGTCGCAATGGGCAACTCATGGAGGCAAATACCCTGTCAATTACAAGTATGCCCCATTTGTAGCTTCGTTTGCGGACATGGAAATGGCTGGCTGTATAACAAATCCTCCGCAGCCCGGTTCATCTTGTTCCAACTCCAGCCTTTCAAGCATGGACCCCGTCGGAGGACCTGACTTTGTTAAGCTATCAAATCAACAGATAACCGCCATGGATTGGGCAAGAAGGAAGCTCATGTTTTACTCATACTGTAAAGATACATCCAGATTTAAAGTCTTGCCTCCTGAATGCACGTAAAAGAATGATACAATTATACATACCTGAAGTTTTTCTTTTCATTTTTTTTTCTTCATATTAATTATATACCAACAAGGAGCAAATGAACAACGCTGATGACATGTTTGTTATATTTTTTTTAAGAAAGAAATCATCAAGCATTATAATTTACACTCTCCCTTATCTTGATCACAAAAAGCGCATATGAGAGTTATTAGAAATAACAAAAGTATGTGATTAGTACAATAATGGAGTTGACATGACACCTTTGAGCGGAATGGCGGATGATCTAGGACTGAGGAGGAGCTGCAAAAATGGGCAAGGGCAGGAGCTGGGGGACAAATCTATTCAAAATAGATTAAGGCATGAGGCGTGGGACACATCTAAAAGTGATGGGAGTGCTGTCACATTATTAGGACTGTCCAAATAAGTAAACAGCTGTGATATGTGACAGCCGGAGATGAATAGTTGATAGGCTTGGGTAGTAAAGTCAACAGCTACCCATGGGCTCGTTGGGGCTCATTAATAAGGTGGTTCAGAAGAGTTTTTGTAGCTTGAAATAGCAAAGGAACTAGCCACCGTTGCGCTGTCCCAATCTGAAATCATACAGCTGTGCTAAATGAGGTAGATTTTGAGCAAATATCATTTTATACAATTATGTTTGGGACACACGAAATACGTACCCTATAATTTTGATTTTATTTACTTTTTCTTTATCTGTTTACAAATTTCAGCGTTAAACTGTTAATTCTCCAGGGAATTGCTATGTTTAGATTTTGAAGAATATCACCCATTTCATCTTAATAGATATTTGATATCTAAAATTAATGATTTGTGTATAGTAATTATATTTATTTTATATACAGCTGAAAATATTTGTCAAAGAGATTTGATACCTAAAAGAAAAAAAAAACAATTATCTGAAATTATTACTCAACTTTCAAATTTTGTAGTTATAATTATTAATTATAGTTTCATTATTGTTTGGATTTTGTCTTAGGACATTGAAAATCACATATCATTTACAATTAGTTTCATTTACAATAATCGAAATGGTTTAATTATAAGCAAACCAGGCCATAAGTTCAATACATGATAAAATCACTTGAACATTTAAGTTTTTTTTTTTAAATCATCTATAATATATTAAATTTCTTGGTTATTCATGATGATAGTCATTATGAATATCACACGGTAATCTACATTAAGAGGTAACTCCCTAAAATTTATAATTTTCTTTGGATGAATCCACCAATTGTATTTCTTCTCCATATTCTGTAAGCTATCACCCACTTATTTGAGTTGGAACGTTGTGCGAGAAGGAAGTTTAGGGACGGTGTTTGTCAATAATATTCTAGATAGGACGGCCAGAAGTTGGCTTTAGAGGTTCTTTGAGAGATGTGGCTCTGTTCAGGAAATCTTCATAGCTCAAAAAAGAAGCAGATTTGGCTTTCTTCGATATGGTAACATTGTCGAGGCAAGAAGGGCATTTGTAAACCTCAATGGAAATCCGATACTACAACAAAGGATTGGGATGAATATCGCAAAATATATGGGTAGGGAGTATTATGGGAGAAGGAGATGACAGGAAGACGAGGATGTCACATCCCATTTCTTGAAGGATTGTGATCGGTGCATAAATCTATGTAGGTATGACCCACTAAACTCAAGTAAGTTTTATCAACATATGTGGGCTTATCATCCATCACATTCATATAATATCCATGTGCTATAATAAAAATTCATAAATAAGTAAATATCATCATATCATTGTGGAACTTCTCAAATTTCATTCATTCAAACATAGAATACACAAGTAAATCACCATAGGTATCCACATTGGTCCGCACCGATTTTCAAGGTTCAACACAAGATTCACAATGATAAACAAAAATGAGAGTATCAACATTTATTTGTATGACCAAGTGTCATTCATAATATAAACAGCAAAAAACTTGACTCAACATTATAGAGTGCAGTTACACTATAAGGCGGGAAAGAAAGCTCTACCACACCTACTGCATATGAGTTGGACTACTCCTCCACAATATGCCCAGCCAAGTGAGTTCTTGATTTGTAAAACAAAAATAAGGAAAATAGCGGGTGAGTCACAAAGACTTTGTAAATGGATATGAGTAGGGGACAAGCCAAGGGGAAAGAGTTTTAGCACAAATCATCAATTTGTTATAAACATGCATCCTTGAATAATCATAGATTTCTCATTCAAATCTTGAAAATGAGGTTGTAAATCTAACAAATGTCTTCATAACAAATATCACATTTCATAACTCATTTGTGAAATAAAAGATTGAGAGTGTACCAAAAACAAACATGGATGTTATACTTTATCGGGGTATTGGATCCCTTGCAAGGGTTGTACCCTAACTGTAATTCCACCCCTTAGGTTAATAAGGATTTGTACTCGAATCATATAGGATCCTATTCTAGTGTCTACCACATACGAATATATATTCAAACAATGAGCTATCAAGCAATCAGATATTAGTATTCAATTATCTTAATATCATCAAACAAAATTTATATAAAGGTGCCTCCGCGCATACCAACACTGTGTCCTCCAATTGACACTAATATCGTAAACTTGAGCCCTCTGTCTATACTCTATTGCCATATATAATGATGTAAGACTTTGGCCCTACATATTCGCTAGTATGTTGTCTAAATCACAAGTGCCTCAATGGTTTTCAGCTCTCTATTTACACCCATACGCCATCTCTAACAACAATAACAAGATTGCCTTAAGCCCTCCATCTATACTCTTTATGCCATCGTATCATCACACATGATGAGTTTTGGGCCCTTTAGCTTTGGCCTTCTGCATCAATGTCTCCACACATCATCCATGTAACCACACATCAATACCACTATCACAACTCTTATATATATAACCATACATTGCATTCATCATAACCAACATAAGTGTATGCAACAACAAGCCTATATATATAGATATATAAAGCCAATGCTCACATGGCTATCATCCTCAATATTTCTATATCAATATTAAATAAGGGATATTATTTATCCATACACATCATTTGATGTTCACATGTAATTTGCACCTTTACCATACCATGGAAGGAATATTCGAAGAAAATCATTTGAAAGGGCTTATGCCTCCGATTTAAAGCTACTTCATTGTAATATATTTGCTTACAAAATAGTCTGAAAACTTCTTTCAAGACATTTGAATAGATATTTGAAACCAATGTTTTACCAAAATCATTTAAATCATGCAATGGTAAATAGCTCATCAAAATACGTTTCATTTACATATCCAAAATACTTAAAAAGATATACCCACTCACCTTGACAAGAAGCATATTCTTTTCCTAAGCTTTGAGTCACCAAAATCTTGCTTGTCTACAATCTTGAGCTATGACAATCACCTAAAAAAATAATTCCTAGAGTACATACCTTAATTTCTAGCAAAACCCAATTTCGAAACTACTCAAGTCATCGAATATTTTCCATTTAACCTCTAATAAATTTCTAAACTTCAAACAAACCATAAAATGAACAACCTTAAGTGTCCTTACCTTTAAATAAAATCCTAATTTTTTCATAAGGGTGAGATGGTAATTTGACCCAATGGTATATTGGACTTTTCCTTGGTGAGTCTTTTTTTATCCTTTATCATACATGATTTCATTTCTTGATTACAGTCCTTTCCATGTTTTCTATCTTTGATGACCTTGCAAACTTGTTTACCTATCAGCATTGAAAGCAAAAATATTTCTAAGCTTGGAAGGGGTCAAAATATGTGATTTTTATAAAACAATCTATTGGAAATAAAGTTGGCAATAATGGTTCCTTTGATATTTAGACAACCAAAAATGATTTTTCCATAATTTTTGAAGCACGCTTGCGATGGCAAAGATGAGCCACAAATTTGATTTCAATTGAAGTTTTTCGATTTTGTTCTTAGAACCAAAATTTAGATTTGATTCCTTTGGAATTGGATTTTTTAGATTGTTTTATTGAATCCAAATAGGGGGTGTTTGTTATTTACACTAAATATCTTAAGCAAATGGAAAGAAATAAAACTGAGGATGTTTACTTAAATGGTATTAAATGTAAAAAAGTTTAGGACGTGTTAAGGGCTACCAAGGACACCCAAAGTGCATGCTGGACAATATCTATTGATAGATGTTCATCATCTACAAAACCAAATATATCAACAAATTTGCTCGATCTATCAATAGATCAAACATAGATTTGAAAACATAAAGGTCATTTGGACTTTTGACAATCATTTAAGAATTTGTTGCCTTCATTCATCCTTACTAGAACGTTTCCACCTTTTTTTTCTCTTTTTTCACTCCAAACATCAAATATCATCTTGAAATGTTTAAAAATCATTCCCAAGCTCAACTTTTGATTTTATACACTCCTAGAGATAAAGTTTTCTCATTTCTCACACTTACACTTCTAGTTTTGATTTTCATAATTTCTAGATTTCTAACAAATCTGTTTTTAATCTGTAAACTCAAGGATTTGTGATGGATTAAACCTTCTCAAGCTCACCAAGGTAAGATTACAAGATGTTGTAGCTAGTTAACTCTTAAAACTTATTGTTAAGCTAGATTACTATCACATCCCATTTTATGGTGGGATATGAACATCACATGGACCCTAATGGGTATGGCCCGCTTCATTCATTCATTCATTAAGCAGTCATAATCATGTGCGAAAGTTGTGAAATCCCAACTTCGTTTATGATACTATGTTAAGAAACTCCTTAAGTGAGCATGCATAAAGATGATTTGAAACACTTAAATTAAGTTTTTAAGCTTAGAAAAATTCATGTTTTGGTGTATAAGATGATTTACAAGGTTTTGGGTAAAGAGGGAGTTGAAATGGCAAGGTTTTAAGTCTATTTTTGCTTACCAGAGTCTATCTATTGATTGATATTCTCTATCTATTGATTGATATTCTCTATCTATTGATAGATGTCTTTCGTTTGAACCCAGAAATGATTTTGATGAATATCTATTGATAGATACACAGTATCTATTGATAGACAGCAACTCAAGAACTTTTTAAAAAGAATTGTGAAACCCATATATTGATAAATTACCTTAATCT